GGAATGTTGAGACCCATAATTGTCTAAATTTGGTCAGTAGGCGATTGACTACAACTTCTCCTGCCATCACTCCTACCTACCAGTTTGTCAAGACTATACGGTTGTCTCTTGGTAATATTTGACAAGGTTGACAGGCTTCCGGTGATCGGTAGTTGGATGGATAGATGGACTTAATGTTTCTTTTTGCAGTCCATGGTATTCGCAACACCATATCTCGAATAACTCTTAAATCTTTTTTCGATCCACTGCACGAATTGACAGATTCCTGGTAAAAAATATATAGACAATTTTCTGCCCCAGTAAACATTAGGCCCTTTAAAAATAAGTTCAAATAAATGTATGAATTAACATCAGTGAATATTCCAAATCATGATTGATGTTGCTTGGCAAAAATACAGGGTCAAATTGCAAACATCACCCTGACCTATTTGCGAGTAGGTGTACAATCTGCGCCCACGCACCTACGTCAAAGCGTTTTATGCCGATCTTCCTCGAATATCAACCAGATTTTGATTATATTAACTTGCAATCCACATCCGATACCGAGCTTTATATTCTAAATTCAAAATCAAAAATTAAGGGAAACAAAATAACATTTTCTGTATAGTTACTACACTGGGTGTGGCAAAACACTGGCTGCGTTTCTTAGTTCGTCCATTTCAGATCAGGGCACGGCCCAAAAGAGAAATGAAACTATTTATAGAAAAAAAGAAAATTGTTCATAATTTAAATTTACCACGTCATCCGCAATACATATACCAGTTATAGTAAATCTTGACCCTAGCCATGCAAATAGGATGAGGAAATGAGGCTACACGTACAATTTAGATTTATATCGTTCGGTCCCTTCTGGTATCAGACTGTCCGCTGTGAATATTTCAATCACACCACTTCCGGTAGTACACTATCACTGTTTATTAACGACTAATTATCAAATTATTCACTTATAAAACATTTTTTAATTCTCGGCGTTTCTTTGCGTTTTATATAAAATACAATTGTAATGTTGCTTATCCCAATACAGAACCGGAACCCGGGGTGTGTCCAATAATTGTTCTTATAAATCAAATGCATCTGTTCTCATTAAATGTACCTAGGCGCTTCACAAAAGCCAGAGGCTATTTAAGACTATTTTTGGGTCTCTATATATATTTTTAAACACAGCAAACTTTATTATATAACTATATATATTGCAGCTCCTTACAAACGTTGTGTAAAACTAAACATGGCGATTAAAAAGAGTGGCGGAGAGTTTATTGCCAGTTCTTCTCTCCCGTTCTACGCCCTTGATTTGAGAACTGGCACTAAATGTAAAATTAGAAGCATTAATATGTATTTCTTTACTGACAAATCATAAGTGTACAATGTGTTACCTATATGATTAAATGATTTTTTAATTTTGAATTTTATGGGACGAAATTGTTTAAATATTCATAGTTATTATCCTGACATGGTAATTAGTTAAAATATTTTAATAGCTTTATACACGATAACATTAAATTCTTCAGTAGGCTATCGCTTAACGTTCTATATTTAAAATATGTACCATACGTTATTACTAAGCAAAGAGGTTCACACAAAATCGAAATCGACGAATCTTCCCAAGTCATCAAAAATGTATAAGAAATGTCTCAGTGTTTATATTTAAATCTCTGATACCATAATAGACTTTTCACTTAACTAAGAATTATATAGATATCTTAATCGATTCCTACATTTGTAGGTCACACACAAAGAACTCTTTCTAACGTAAATACCAATTCATGTTTCGCCTTCACTTTCTTTCGATTTTATTGAGGACACGCGTGAATCATTTACGGACAGAATTTTATTTCCACTTTAACTGATAAACGTGTAATTGATTTTAAATTACTTTCTGAAATGTTTTGATGAAATAAACTTGAACTTCTTTCCAACTTCTATATATAACTGTATACGAAACTACATTTTAGTTAGTATCATAAGTATTTTCTTACAAAAACTAATGAGTTACAATTGATAGCAAAATATTATTTTCCCTCTGTATAAATGATATATCAACGATTATCAGCATATTTCATCAGATCGCATCATTAAATAACGATTACATTTTAATAAAATTTACGTTATTTCACTTGCTATTTATTTATTACTACGGCTAACATGTTATAATTAACAACCAACAATTAATTTATACAAAAAATTTAATACAGAATATCAATTCAAAAAATACGAATCATTCAAATGAGCTGGTTTACTTCTGTTTCCTCATACAATATTTGGCCTTTATACGAAACGAAGAAGACGTCTAGGGTATATAAAACTGTAGTTAGAGCGAAAATCTCTCGAAAAGTACCGGTATAACGCAATAATATTCGAGCGAGTCTTTGAACTTTCACTTCTGGTAAACATATTATGATTGCTTCTGTAAGACTTTCCTTCAATATTACTTGTCGAATTTCAAGTCTTATTACGTTCGTTTTACTCGATTAATTATTATAACACGTAAGACTAATATATCAATAAACCATATACCATTATATATAGGATACATTAACTTTATTTCAACCTACCTACGGACACAACAAAATCATTTCCCCTAAATAGGGCTGATGAAATCGTTTAGTAATTTCCTAATTCAGTCTCTAATGACGCATCCGAAGTGTTAAATAAACAAACAAGTAGACCTCACAAACACTGTTGTATTAATATAGGTTACACGGCAAAAAATTTAATTGAAGCAAGTTAAAGGCGCAGTTATTAATTATTAATCCGGTCCTCAGTCGTATGTTACCGTTTCGTGCAAACAACATGAACTGGGGCGTACACATACAGGTAAATATACGAATACGTACTTTAGATAAAGCAACTCATTAAAATTCAAACGCTTTCCTCGTTACGTTTTAATCTATAGGTTAAAGTATTAATACGGAGTATACATGCAATGAAAAATAGGTTGTAAAATATCCTTTATTTACGGGATTGTCACCACAGCCTATTACAGCCAGACGCAATCAGTGGAGAAGAATTTCTTTAAAAAAAGGTCTGGCAGCATAACAATAAAATCCCATATATAAATTTAAAGCATGCATGCATTATAACTATAACTTTTTACAAATACTCAAAGACGAGAAATATCTAATTCATTATTTATGTATTCATAGAACAAACATATATCCCTTTCATACATTTTAAGAAGATAAAACAGAATTTGAAAAGATGGCGCGTTTGTTTTGTTTGTGATTGGTCAAAAACAAAAGACGATCGCGAAATTGGAATAAAGATGTCTATGGCCACACTATCACAAGCAAGCTCAATTGTGTTTACAATTTCACCCATCAAGATTCAAGGCCACCCATCTTTATTCTAAATTCAACTGCAAAACTGTTAATACTATTTTAATACGTGAGATCTGGTAAAACTATTCCTAGGAACATTCTTCTAGGACAAACTTAACACAATATAAAGACATAAGTGTATTTTGATTTCAAATCTACATTCTACCTAAAACTTCAAAATTTGCTACAGCTTGCCCGACGGAGGAGACGAAAAAAAGCGAACACAGCAATTGGAACTACATAGAATAGACCGCAGGAACATTGCAAACAATGTGTTTTCAGTTCAGGCAGGATTCCAAAGGATAAAAGAATCTAGAACGTTTTTATTATGAACTGTTGCCATTCTGATGTATGACAGTATTGGACAGTAGATGTACCGCATACATACAATGGCATTCACTTCACATTTCACAAATGGTTTACATGCCGTGTACCTCTGACGAACGCGAATTTTTAAAATACCTTTTCTTTTATGAGATAGAGATATTTTATAAAGTTTTCTTAATAATATTTGATTTTCCATCATTAGTTTAAAGTTTTTCTTACTTTTCACTTTAGTTCAAAGTGCTAAAGTGTGTAATTTAATTGTGTGTAAATAATCTTGCGCTTAAAAGTTTTACATACATAATATTTACCCTAAAATTTTAAGGAACAAACAATCCAATTATGATGCATAGTTATGATAATCTAATATTACTAATTCTCGTGTCACAATGTTCGTTCCCATACTCCTCCGAAACGGCTCGACCGTTTCCTATGAAGTTTTTATGCATATTAAGTAGGTAAGTCTGAGAATCGGACAACATCTATTTTTCATCCCCCTAAATGTTAAGGGGGTCCACCTCTAAATTTTATTTTTTTAGACAACATTTTTATGGTACAGCATATAAAAATAAATTCAACCCTAATTTTTACCCCTCTCCGATGAACCCCTATTTTTTATTAAAGTAGATAGTTACTTTTATTGAACTAAAAAAAGGTTTCCTAGAAATAATATACATGGCAAAACGACGTTTGCCGGATCAGCTAGTATATATATGTATAAAAACAATTTGGAAAATAAAAGGTGTGGAGGAAAGATGTGCGTTTCATACGATATAAAGGGAGGATATTCCGTCAGTCAGAGTCAGTGGTTAGACTGGGCGGCCCAAAGGACCTTGTGGCTAAGTTGGAGAAGTTCTATATAAGTTTAGGGGCCGGAATAACTTTATTACCGCGATTCAGGGTATATTGTATTGTTTATGGTCGCAGATTGTAGGTGTCTCTACAAAAGCTTTATTATCAGTTGTGTACGAACATATAGCTTAATACTTTGCGTACTTACGGTAACTACGCACTATAGTGTATATATATATGTGTGTGTGTCTTTGTCATAGAAATATCGCGGTCATTACAACATTATATTATAACCTATTTTAAATCAATAGACTTTTAAAAAAATTCTGATGTTGGCACGGATTCAAATATTACAACTAAAAAGCCAAGCGCAGTCAACTATTCGCTATTCACAATAGTTGAGAATTCTTGTGGCAACATTCTCAGCAAACATTTTACTAAAATATTATCGTTAAGTTTGATTTATATTTATTTCATACAAACTTTTATAAAAGTGCTAAGCGTTTGATAAAAGTAAGAATTTTAGCTTAAGATGTTCGTTTAGAGAGCTATAAATTAGGAACTTACCAAAGTTTTCATAAGTGCAGACAGTTCTTTGGTGACGACAGCAAATTTGAAGAAGGCGGCCCCAATGTCTGGCTCCGAGTCCTTACTGAGGGCATTCCCTCCGAGCCTCTCCAGCGCTCGAGAGAGGTACATTTCATTGTCCACGTGCGCTGAAAAAAAAAAATATTTTGTAACTTATATGACCTGTTTAACAATCAAAATGAGAGGGCGAAACAAAACTAAGGTTCTTTATGCATTCATTAATTAACCCTACGCATTAACAATACTTAAATTATGTTAGTATTATTAATTACTTAAAATGTCACATGGGACATGGTGTAATGGTTGCAGCTTCTTACAAACATTTTGTAAAACAAAAAAATGGCGATTAAAAAGAGTGGCGGAGAGTTTATTGCCAGTTCTTCTCTCCCGTTCTACGCCCTTGATTTGAGAACTGGCAGTAAATGTAAAATTAGAAGCATTAATATGTATTTCTTTACTGACATGTCATAAGTGTACATTATGTTACCTATGTGATTAAATGATTTTTTTTACTTTACTATAAAAGTGTATTTGAAACGAAACGGAAGCACATATATTAATTGTTCGATTAGAATTCGTGTCTATTCTAAATTATATGGATGTGTCTGAGTTCTAAACTGACATCATATCGACCATTATCCTTTATTCCAGTGAATCAGTGACTGTTTCAGTTTACGAAACGTTACAATCTACTTGCTTATATCAACATTTAATCAGTGCTGTAAAATATAATCTTCGCATAAATAATACATGTTGTTTTTATCATGTGTCAGCCGAAATTTCAGATATGTAATGTATTTAATTAATTAAACCACTCATAGAGTCAATGTTAACGAACTTCTTTTAAAGAATACAATTAGAGGCTTTCTTTCTTCAAAAAGATTATCCCAGCTTTGTAACAAAGACCTCTTCCTCTAGTGCCTACAATCGCGAGTCGTTTGTTGTTATCCGATATTCAATTAGTTTTACTGGATTAAGCTGGATCTTGCTTGATGATGGGCATACATATCTAGTTTTATAGATGTCACTACAAAGTATATTGTTTCATAAAAAATAGCCTCGGTCAATTACTGTACAAAGTTTGTAAGGGAAACAGAAAATTTAAACATTGAAATATTTACTTAGTAAGTATGTTAAATTAATTATCGTCTGTTTGAGTGCTTGCATATGTAATCGTGGATACAAAGTGACAAGTCTTACGCTGCACAAATCCATAATGTATGTTTAATTGTAATCGTGTATTACGGGGCGTTTCAGCAGAAACAGTAACAATGTAAGTTATCCTAATAAATACTTAATTTTATAAATTTGGGTAAAAGATTCCAATTTGCCTTCTCAATCAACCGATTGTATACTACACTTTCAAATATCCACTGAGAGTGTTTATCAAACCACTTCGTATGGATCGGCGCAACTTTTCATCAGAATGTCCGAAAATCAAAGGGAAACAAACATGATATCACCGCAGGACTGTTGATATTAAAATTTTGACAGTTGTTTTAGATTGATTCTGCACTTAATGGAAACGAAAATGACGGGTTGTGTTTATTACGTCCCCAAGTTTGTTGAACTTAATAAATGGGCAGTACAGAATTAAGAAAAAGTAGTATGGTAGCGAGTAGGGCGTAAAATTTTATCAGGGCAACTAATAGTAAATAAATTTAACATTTTGAGGATAAAATTTCCTACGTTCGTATATATAATATTTCGTAATTTATCAACGATAATTATTTCACGAAACACGTTATTGAAATGTGGATTTTGCAGATTTACGTAATAATAATAATTAAAATGATAACATATACAAAAGAATAAAAACTAAATCGGTCTAATTAAGTACTATTTTGGATCTTTCTATCAATTGCGTTTACGCTGTGTTGGAGAGGCTAATTTTTTTTCTAAGGCATTTGTTCCATTAATACTTTTTAGTTCCCTGACGCATGTCGAATTGTAGGACAAGAACCAGATTATTCAGTTTTTGAAATACGGAATTCAGTCTCGATTCTGAATCTTTGAAGACTTTCCTCAATTTTTTTTTCACCGTACGGCAACTATTGCACATATACTTAAAAAATTACACATAGTATTGTCGTTTAAAAATATCAAATATAAGCACGTGCGATTCGTCGCCCATTACGATAAATCACAAAGAGATTCAAATACAAATGATTTTCCACCGTTTCTTGGAACAGAGCCAAGGTAAGCCATAAACGACGTTATATCGACGTTGCTAAATGTCGATTTTAAATGCAATGTACTTGAAATAGAAATGTATTTCTACAAAGATTTCGTGAAAAATAATTTACCGCCGATAGAGGAGACATTATATGTCGAATGAATTTGTATCTACACGGTGACACCACAGCTTGAAAACGCCTGTACTCAACTTTAAAAAAAATGCTTCTAGAACACAATTTATATACCTAAATATAATAAATACGCATTCTTACTCTTTCTCCTATAAAAAATTCCAAAACTCAAATCAATATCCCAACCAAAACCGCCAATATTCTAGAACGCTTCATATGCATTCGTTTTGCTTTTTGCAGCGACCTTGCGCAGCTGCGACCCGCGAAACCAGTTACCGGCCCGTAAACAAACCCTAGCACGCGATGGAATTACATGTCAATAAACTCTTTTTAATTCATTCGTCTTTTACATCTGTGACCCTTTAGCCATTAGATATTCTTAATGAAATATGCATTCCACTTCTCTATGCAGCTGGCATGAACTTCTATTATTAGTACAATTATTGTAATTATCATTTATATAAAAATTTCTCGGCTCGCACCCGCATTATTGGTCGTATCACGATGTTCTATAGCCTAAAAGCTAGTCTCACTAGACTTTTACATATAAAAAAAATTTTTTTTGCTAGATATAATATGGTATCACGGACTTTTATGATGATATTGAAAGAATTGTCTTCTATAAAACTGTAGTACATCACTTTGTTCTATTATCAATAGTTTCCGCGGCATATAAGGATTATTGGTGTTCACGTCTTGAGTTACATTATCGAAGTTATCAAACCAACCCAAACTTTTTTTAAATAATCTAAAGCCTATGATCAGGGATAACGTACGGTTCTAATTGTGAAATAATTTTTCAAATCAATCCAAGTTTTGCTGCAAAACAGACAATCAAATGTTTCCTCTTTATAATATTAATGAAGATTCTTTCACTAAAAACGTTAAATTGAACAAAAATTTTTGAAGTATATTCTACTATGACAGAACTTGTTTTGAGGTTAACAGAATAGCACAAATAATAGAAAGTTTGTCGACGTTTTTTCTCTCCATATACTGGTTTTTGCTGATAACCGCTTGAAGATGTAGGTCAGTTAGTGAACTAATAACATTCATGTAGTTAACACAGCAACACAACGCGAGCTTTAGATCATTCGCTCCAGTTTTTAAGTGTATTAAAAAAGTCCGACGTCTTTCGAATTTTATTTAACTATTTTTTTTTCAGACGTAATTCAAGTGTTTTTGTATGTGTGGATCGCACAACAATACCACCAAAGTACAGTGTAGCAGTGACTCCTGTCAATATGTTATTGCTACTATTTACTTTAGTGGGAAAGTATAGGTTTCAAAAATCAGTATAAATAAATATATAAACACGCAGTCAACAACTTTGCGAGACTTTTATTTCAAGTATTATTATTATTCTACTGCGATATGCCTTAAAGTCTCAAACTTTCCATTTGCCTCATGAACGGATAATGCAAAGTAGGTACCTGTACTACACACACCCCATTATTGGTTTAATGATTTGTTATTTATTTACAATAATCTCACTTACCAAAACCAAACAAAACTTTATGATCAGTTGAGCATAAAATTTCAGGATTAATATTCCAACAAGAAAACTGTATACTTCCCCTAAAACATAACCGTATTAAAAAAACATGCTAATAAAATTTGTGTGTATACAATATTACGAAATTGCCGGCCGGCATGTAGTACCGTGATGTAATAGTTTTAATAATGCTTAATATTATGACAATTACGAGTACCTGTATTGACCTACGGGCAAAGCATACTTGTTTCTCTAAGATGATTATTTAGGATGAACCCTATTTCCGATTCGGACTTCAAAGTTAAATATTATAACAGCACATAGATAAACATAGAATCTCGTGTGGCCAACCAGACGTGCGTCGACCCACTTTCCATCTGTGACACGTGAAGGGAAACTTCACTTGGACCTCTCAGCTAACTTTAACGATTTAGAATTAATTCATGAAATTCGGCTGTCGGCTTTCTTAACTGGATGGTGCCGTTAAAATATTAAATGTAACGAAATGTATAGTAGGAAGAAATACTAAAAAAATTGCATTGATACTATGTGAGTGACAACCAGTTATATCTGTAATAACTCCAGTATTTAAATAACGATTTACACCCTCTTATTTATGTTAAGAAAAGCTTAGAAGAAATTTTGCTATTTGAAACAGTGACACAATAATTTTGTTACTATCATACAATATATATTACGAACTTACGAAAATGTTAGGAATTACTAAGCATTCATAAATAAATAAGCTTTCAATTGAGCTTTGACCTTTACATTTAAATAATCGCCAAAAAACAGTTTTAGCTAAAAAAGTAGGAGAATTTATACGGTATTTAATACAAATGATACAATAGTACGTAAGTTACATATTATAATAATAGATTTAATCCGAAATAACTGTGCCCCGAGAACAAAGAACCTTTCGGCGCATATTCTATTATCTGACCCAATCCACGTGAACTATGAAGCTCGTTGTATCAGAATGTAGGCCAGTGCATTTCATCGCTCCAAATTCAGGCAAAATTCAATACGTCCCTAATCAAATCAACTACTGTCTTACTATACATACCTATCCATCTAGCAGCTATAGAATTATTGCAAACATAAGAAACCGTACACATTGAAAAAATATGAAGTTTTAATATTCTATTTAGTTTTAGTTTGAATTTGTTTTTTACTTTTGCTGTTTTGACCATATTTTTGTTCCTTGCTTTTAGGAGCTTTTTCCTTACTTTTTTGCATTTTCAAAGCATGTTATTAAACCCAAGTTTTTAAACGTATTAATATGTTTTAGAAGTAGATACGATAAT